TTTGACTTGTGATTAGTAAGTTCTTTAAGTAGAAGCGTTGATTTAATAGTAAAAACATAGAAAGCTCAAGCTGCAATAATTCTTGAACCAGCAAACCCACACATAGAGAGTGGAATCGGTGAATAATTATTCGAGCATCAATCGAAAATTTCGAACATCGAAATAAACTTCATTCATTGAGTTTTAAACTCAGTCAATTATCGAGCATCAGTCAAATTAAAATTTAACTATAATTTATTGAGCAAAAGTCGGCGAATAATGATAATTTAACTCAGCAGGGCAAATGATTGGCTGATGCGACACGTGTTAACATTTATCCGGTTGAGTCAAATTCCTGTATTCGTTATCCGACAATTTATTATCATGGAGGAATTGATGTTTTGTTTCGGAAAAATAAGCGTTTTTCTAGGATGATAATCTTTGAGAATTGTTTTTCAAAAAAAGTTTTTATAGGGCAATAGGACGAATATTTTGATTTGGAACTCGGTTTGAATGCCTTAAAGTTGATAGTTGATATTTATACGAAACACTTTTTTGAAAAATTAGTAACAGCAATAAGTAAAACTATATTATTCGATTCGTGATATTTGATACTCAAATACGAGGTACTTTTTAAAGTTAAATGATTAAAGTTGGAATGTCATTTTTTTTTAATTAAAAAAAAAAAATTATATATAAATTATACACATATAATTTAAAAAAATCGTCGTTAATATATGTATATAATCCGAACTCTATTTAAAACAACTTCTGATAATCTAAAACTACGATTTCTTGTAGTTTAAAATCATTTCAAGCAATTTAAAACTACCTCTGAATGTTTATAAAGCAAGAATAATAATGATTTAAAAAAAAATGAAAAAATGATAGAATATAATATCAGAATATTAATGCATAATTGAAAAAAATTGGAGATCACTAATAATATCAACAAAATAAACAAATTGTGTGCTTATTATGATGCAGTATTCATCTCTTACTACATAGTTTTTCGAGAAACGAAACTTATAATTAATTGAAATAATAATCCGAATCTATAATATAAATCACTATTTCAAATAATAATGTATATTTATTTTTCCCAATTTTGTATTAATCAACTACGTTTTCTTTCTTTGATTCAACTACGTTTTCTTTCTTTGATTCAACTACGTTTTCTTTCTTTGATTCAGCTACGTTTTCTTTCTTTGATTCAGCTACATTTTCTTTCTTTGATTCAACTACGTTTTCTTTCTTTGATTCAACTACGTTTTCTTTCTTTATTTGAGTTTCCAACTCATTAATTTCTACTTTTTTGCCCAAAATTTCTTGAATTTCTTCTTCAGTTAGTACATCAGCTAATTTTTTTTTACATTGTTCTAATTGTTTACGAGCAAAAGCGTTGTTAATCTTCAAAACTTCCTGATGTGCTTCTACTAAACTTTCCAACCAAAACTGATGATCTTCATCCAAACGACTTTTAATAATCTTTAACTGGGATTCAAAGTTTTCTTCTTCTATTTTCTTAAGTTCCGATTTTAAATTATTAAGATTAGTAGCTTTAGTAGATTGGATCAAACTGGTTAATCTTGCTACTTGTTTTTTTAATACTTCTACTTGATTGTTTAATGCATTATCGCCTCGATTGTTTAATGCATTCTCGCCTCGATTGTTCAATATGCCTCGATTGTTCAATACTCTATCACCTTGATTGTTTAATACACTATCACAAAAACTAAGTTGCTTATTACCAGCGAAATTAGTGTGTTGCAAGTTTGGTTTACTACCTAAACTTATAAAGCCAAGAGTTGTATTATAAATCGTAATGTCAGTTAACTGAATACATTTATCCACCTTTAGCTTTGTTAACTTTTGTTGTTGATTGTTTTGCTCAATACCTTCAATATATAGTATTTTCAAATTAACAAAGTCATTAAGATCTAGCTCTCCTTCCAGAATAACATTACAAAAACAATAATCTGGAACGGGGTAACAATTATTCTGATCCTTATTATTGCAGTGTTGACAATTATTATAATTATTGTATCCATATTGATTATACGGTTTCGCTACGGAAGGTGCCCCAAAAGTTCCGACTTGAGGCCTTGGTGCAGACTGATTGTATGAAGACTGATTGTGTGCAAATGGATTAAACTGTGCCGTCCCAAAAGGTCCATTTTGAGATGAGGACTGAACGAATGCAAATGGATTAAACGGAGCCGACCCAAAAGGTCCAAATGAAGGGCCAAATGAAGGAGGGGAAGTTGTTGCAGGCTGACTGTATTGTGACGTTCGGTCAAACTTGCATTGACATTTGCTGTAGATGTAAAGAGTTTTTGCTCGTCCCCTTTCATTCGTTGGAATTTTTTTATTTAGCCACTCGTTCGCATTTACCATTTTTACAAAACTTTAAAAACAAAAAAAAAAATTAACGTTAATAAATCTGTTTAAAAAAGTATCCATTTATATATTACAATTCAAATAAACAATACAGCACACTTATTACTGCAGGTGATACAATTTCAAAAAGGGAATTTTTCAAGATCAGGTGTAACATTTGTGTAATGGCAATGTGAAATTGAAGGTTTTTTCAAAAAATCGCTGGTAAATCAAATTTCGCCAAGCGCCAGGAAATCACTTTTTATGTTCCAATAAAAAAAATTTCCTTGCTAAAATTTTACTATGTGACGCATCTTACCAAGTCCTAGTCCTAACTACAACAAATAAAATATTTACTATTGGCATCACTTGTTTTATGTAATAGTGCGCATGATGCCTTTGCAGAACCCTATACGTACAATACCCCAAATAAAGAAATAAAATCATGGCTGTTTCTGCAAGTGATACAAACCAAACTTGTAAATAAAAAAAAAATCATACGTTTTAATATGAAAATAGTATTCTATAAAATTAATATACTGTATACAATTTGCCACCTTAGGTCCGATACTTACTTTTAATTTGACCGGGATTTATATTTAGTGACTTCCCTTTTCACGCCCATAGCGTAACTTGAGATGGTTTATTTGATAAGTCAAAAAACCATAACTACATTACCTTGTTAAATCACCACTCAAAAAAGTTTGAAGTAAAAATTTTACAATGAAATTCTACCAATGTCAAGTTATAACAACGATCATTGGGGGTCATTAGGAAATGGTTAAAACAAGTGTTAATAATCTTCCCATATATTCAAAATGTCACTTCTAAGTGACCATTAAAAAAAATTCCTCAAGTTCGTTTATATTATGATTAGTGTATAGATAGAGACTAGACGTCATCTACAGTAAAATTTCTCAGGGAAATCTTGCATAAGGGGAGGGTTTTTATGCGAAGGGTTGGAAAAATAACGATTTTTGACAAAACAAATGTTTGTTTTGGTAGTGCTGTAACCGGCAGCTAAGTATACATTATTGGGCAAAAAAATTGAAGAATAACAGTAATTTGTTTTGTTTCTAAAGTAACCTGAGGAAAGTCAGGATATCTATTTCAAAATAATTTGTTTTATAGGGTAATAGGATGAATATTTTGATATAGCAAGTATTAGCTATCTTATATGATTCAAGATATTTGATACTCAAACGCAAGGTATATTTTAGAGTTTGATGATTAAAATTAAATGTTATTTTTTTTTAATTAAAAAAATTCATATTATACAGTCAACTCTATCTATTCCGAACCGTCCGTTCTTATATGTAAAATTGGTTAAAAAGTTCAGTTCTCAAAGAGTTATTATTAGCTAATCCGAACTCTATAATAAAATTTACAAATGTTCTAGAGTTTTTCGTTCGGATTAGAGAGAATTTAATAGTGTTCGGATTAGAGAGAGTTGACTGTATATAGGTTGTGTGTGATATTAGAATAGATGTAGATTTAAAATTGAGTAGCGTCAGACTGAAATTTGAATTGGAGATGCATAAGGTTGCAATAGAAGATTTGCGTTGAACAAACTTGATAATTTATATAAGTGATGATAAGAAAAAATCAAACTTTTTTTTAGCTTTTCTTCAGATTTTTTAGGATAAGTTAGGTTTAAAAGCCGAAGCGCCGAAGTCACATGTAACTGAAATATTTCGGATTTGTTGGTTATGTTGTAACTAGTTTTGAATAGTTTCGGACGTATGCATGTATTATATAGTAAATGCTCAAAATGTGATAATAATTAATAATAATTTCGTTATTACATGTATTTTGTTTCATTCCAACACCAAATTTCGCAACATGCTAATATTCTGCTTTAGTGCTGATTTTTTGATCGTTAAAATTCAAGTATTTAATCGATTATAGATATTGAAAAGCAGAGAAGTACGTGGTGCAATATTAATAGGATAAAAAAAAGAACTTTAATTTTTATAGTTTTAGATAAATTGGGCGTTTTTTTTTCTTATTCGATGCCAAAATTTTGACATCTTGGCATGAAAAGTTTATACAAAAATACATGAATAATTCAATAGTTGTTTAAATCGCATAAATGATAATCTTGGTTTGATTCGACTTCATTTTGATGCAACACAATTTTAAACCTATGACTCTTCTAATCTGATGAATGCCATATATATATACAGTCAGACCTCTATATAATCACCAAGTTGGTTGCGCCCTAATGTAGTGATTGTATAAAGGTGTGATTATAAACAAATATCATACGATTTTCAGCCAATCAATAATTAATTGTTAATTCATTAGTCATGATCTTCCTATATCTAAAAGTTTTTTCTTACTAAGTTAACTATCTTTGAGTCTCTAAATAAAGTTGTAGAGCTTCTTAAGACAAATCTAATGGTAGTTAAATCATCAAAATCAGTCTAGTACATCACAATATATCTTTGGAAATGTTTTGTTGACTATATATAAACAATAGTATTATTTATATAGTTAGTGAAATATTTTTTGAAGATATCTCATGACTAGTGATGGTCAATATGCAGAATCCACACATGATCCTGCGTATAATGTGTGTATTTAAAAAATCTCATGTGGGATTTTTAATATAAGATTATTTGGTCTGCATATTATCTGGCCTACATTAATATATTATCTGGTCTGTATTAATATAAGTAGACCAATTTCTAATTTCTCTTATTTTGGAGACTAACTACAGAAATATAACTTGGTGTTTTCTTCTACCAATTAAGCAACCCATGCAGTTTTCTAGCATCATACAATATATATTATTAGTTTTTATTTTTTCTCTTTCTGGTTGTCATTCTAACAGGCTATAGAATGTATTAGACAAAACTATTGTCCCAACAGGTCAAATCATTAAACAAACTTGTTAATCACCTATAAGCTTAAATATTTTATATAGCTGATGTCCCAACAGGCTATTTTTGGAGAAACTTACTGAAAAAAAAAAAGAGTTGATTTAACCAAAATGAATATTGGGTTTATAGCAAAAAAACTATTTTCTCTAT